AGAATACACTCTTTTACGCACCTCCCCCACTTCATCAAAACAAAATATCAGTATCATTATGTCTACTACCAAACCTTTGTTATCGGTTGGCGGAGGGACTACATTATCTACCTCTCAGGTCACTCCGTCGGCCAATGTCACTTTTCCTCAGCCATTCCCGTCAACTTTTCGGATTCTGAGATTAAGGAAGAACTTGAACAGAGGGATATAGCCCTTTCGCTATTATTCGATTGAGCCGCAGTGGCGGCGCGCCCATGCCTTTGGTGGTCGTGATACTGCCCAAGAGTGAAAAGTCCCAGCAAGTATTCAATGAACAAGAACTGCTGGGACTGGCCATTCGAGTAGAGATTCAGAAGAACTCCAGACTCATTGGGCAGTGTCACCGCTGCCAAAAGTACGGGCATGCGCAGTCATACTGCCCTGCACCACCCAAATGCCTAAAATGTGCAAAGGACCACATGACGCATCTGTGCCCCCTTACAGGACAGGAAGAGCGCCCAAATGCAAACTGTGGAGAAGGCCACACCGCAAAAAGCCTGACTTGCAAGGAGGAACTTGCAAGTTATAGCGCAAAGGCGCAATCTGTCATACGCGGACGCAGCGAGAGAGGCAACCTTGCTTACCCCCTCTGCGAAACCTTCCTTGAGCACGCAAAACGTGGACCTGGCAACCGCACTAAGGTCCTTACAACAAATGATTAAGTCCACTGATTAACGCTACTCAAGCTTTGCAGGCGATCTGTCCTGTAAATGGCTAGGTACAATAGTAGACAGCCTGTATTTCTCAAAATTGTTTTTTGGAATTTTTTGGGCCTAAGGGACATTCCCAAAAAACGGGAACTTCATCAAGCTCTTTTGGATGACGGCATAGATGTAGCCTTGCTGCAGGAGACGTTGCTTAATCCGGGAGATCGTCTAGCTCTCCCGAATTATGATGTTATCCGTGCTGATAGATTGAATGGTCGAGGTGGCGATTTAGCAGTGCTGATTAAACGCGGTATTGACTATTATAGAGGCACGAATGCAGAGATGCATGGCATCAAAGCAGCTTCTGTGGTGGTCAACATGACGATAGGTGTTCCGTTGAAGATCACATCGGTGTATGTCTGTCAGGTGTGGTGTCATGCTACAAGAGGCGGATCTGGATGTCCTTAAGAACTACCTGGGTCAACTTATTGTGGCAGCAGACTTCAACTGCAATCATCGAGCATGGAATTTTATGTTGAATTCCACGAGTGGGATTCGACTGTACAACCATGTGATACAAAATGGGTACCTTGTACATAGTACTGAAGAGCTGACATACCAGCCATTCAATCATATTCAGGCACCAGATGTCATTGACTTCGCGATATGTAAAAACTGTAGATACAGAATCTCTCCTCGAGTCTTGATGATATCTCTAGTGATCATCTACCTGTTGTCTAGGAGGTGGGCAATGAGCAGACTTCTGAGGAGGAAGCTCCTCCAAGGAAACGCATTGATTGGGAGCTATACAAGTTGTTTCTTAGAGAGTTTCCCAATATCCCGATCATAGATGATCAGACTGGAATAGATGCCGCTCAAGCGGAGTAGACAAGTTTCATTCAAACAGCTCTACAGCGTGCAGCTGTACTTCCTGTACAACGACACGGCAGACCTTTTTTGCCTGCGGAAATTCGTCACAAAATCTCTAACAAGAGAGCCGCTATTAAGCAGTCAAAAAGATCTTGCCAGCCTGATGACATTCGTAGGGCTACGAATCTTGTCCATGAACTGAGAAACGAGCTCCATGAATTCCGTAATGAGCATTGGAGCGACTTTCTGGCGGGAAGGCTTGATTCAAGTATTCCTGTCTGGAGGGTCGCAAAGTCACTCAAAAACGGAAAGCGAGAACAACTCCCGCACATCCACGGTCCTGAAGGCATAGTATTCAGAACAGAGGATAAGGTCGAGGTTTTCGCTGACGCCATGGGAAAACTGTTCTCTCCCAACCATGATCTTGATAATGACTTCGATGAGGAACAACACATTGTAAGATCCGTCAGGAGATATTTTAGGGTCAACGGCGATAGGAGAGGTACTGTATCCTCTTCAGATTACTCTTCTTCACAAGATTCGTCTGAGGCTTCACATAGCATATTAGAGGAACTTTCCGAGGTTCCACAATGCACTCCAGCGGAGCTCTTAGGTCTTATTAAAGACCTCAAGGTGCGTAGAGCACCTGGAAAGGACCAAATCACAACAGGGCACTGAAGCTGCTCTCGCCGAAAGCTCTGACATATTTGGTGACAATAATCAATACGATGCTCAGAACCCAGCACTTCCCTGTGGCGTGGAAGACTGCTGAGGTCATCATGATTCCAAAGAAGGTGAGTTCGATAATTTCTCAGGATTACCGTCCTATTAGTCTCCTGTCAGCTCCTTCTAAGCTCGCTGAAAAGGTGATTTATCGCCACCTTGAGAATTTTTCGTCAAATCACCATGTGATTCCTGACGTTCAATTCGGTTTTTGGTCCGAGCATATCACCAAGCTACAGGCGTCAGGCTGGTGAAACATGTTACCAGAGGGTTCACCCTCAGCATGAGTACTGGCATCTTACTTTCGGATGTCTCAAAAGCCTTTGACAAGGTGTGGCGCGCGGGCCTCCTTTATAAACTAATCCAAAAGGGTTTTTGGCTTCTAAAATTACTGAAATCCTTTCTTGACGGTAGAAAGTTTCGAATCAAAATTAACAATTTTTTGTCAACAACACGGCGAGTACGGGCCGGTGTTCCTCAGGATTCGGTCCTAGGACCAATCTTTTATTAGCTTTTTATCCATGATGTCCCTTGGCCCAGCAAGTGTGAAGTCTACCTCTATGCTGACGACTCTGCACTTGTCGCCCAGCCGTGTACTGGTAATCTGCTTCACGATAGTTTGCAGAGTGTGGTGATCGAAGTACTAGAGTGGGCGGATTAAAATTAATCAAACGAAAACGGCTATTTATTGTACCAGAAAACGTCGCGACCCCCCAGCAGAGGTTTCTGTAGACGGCAATCGTGTACCATGGACAAATTCGTGTACCTAGGTGTCACCCTTGATAAAGGCATGACCTGGCAGAAACATACAGCAGCCTTGAAAACAAAATTCCAAGTTGCGTTTCGACAACTATATAATTTGTAATGTAGATCCTCCAAATTGTGTTTGATAAACAAAGTTCGCCTAAATAAAATGATTATTAGACCAGCCAAAACACACATAGAAAGTCTTCCAGTACTGCAAAGTAGAACTTTGCGATTAATTTGCAACGATCCAAGGTATGTCTCAAACGAGACACTACACAGAGACCTTGACATTCCTTACTTGAGGGATTATGTCAAGCTTCAGGCGCAGCGACGTTATAGTCGAGCGGAATTGCACAGCAACGCACTGTTGAGTGACTCAGTGAACTACACAGTGGAGTAAGTTCATAAACACTCAAGGCTACGGTTCGCACTGTAATAAAAAATTAGCGCGAACTTTTAGTAAACTTAAAATTACACTCTAACAAAACCGAATCAAAATTGTTTAGTTGACCTCAAAATTAATCCGTGTACGAATTCAAAAAGCCTAGGTGTTTCCTCTTAAACTAAACACTTCTGTTTTCCTTATTCCTTCTCTTTTCTTTTCTCTTTTTCTTTGACATTGTCTGGTTTCTGGGCAACCAGGACTGACAGATTCGACTAACGTACATTAGACAGTGACTAATGGGCAAAGGTCCTTGAAATGCTTCGAAAAGTTACTTGTTCCGAATTTCCTCAAGTCCATAACAGATCATCTTTCTAACTGAAAGACATGATTTTTATCGTCGCTATTGTCATCGTCGTCGTCATTATTGTCGTCGTCGTTATCATGATTGTCGTCGTCATCATCGTTATTGTCGTCATCGTCGTCGTTATTGTCGTCGTCATTGTCGTTATTGTCGTCGTCGTTATTGTCGTCATCATTGTTATTACTATCGTCGTCGTTATTGTCGCCGTCGTCGACGTTGTTGTTGTCGTCGTTACTGACATCGTTATTGTTGACGTTATAAATAAACCTATAGATCTGTATCAGGATTGCAGAAACGACTAGGAGCATTGATGCAAAAGATCAAAATTACGCGTCAACGACATAGCATAAGCAGAGAACCATTCATCTACTTCGTCGCGTTCCTGTGAACCTGATAAAAAAGTCTCCAATCTACCAATTTTACGAAGCAGCTGTGGTCGACAGAGCGATAGTTAGAAACCTGTATCAGGATCGTAGAAACTACGAGAAGCATAAATGGCAAGGAGTATCACAGACAGAACACAGCACTATTGACGTACCTCCTCGCGTTTCTGTGATCCTGTTAGCCCTCGCCGTCCTCGAATTTTACGTGAAAGGTCTGATCGGCAGCGCGGTTTTCAGAAACTTATAGAGCTGTATCAGGGTTACAGAAGCGGCAAGAGGTATCGATGCTATGGATTTGAATTTCGTGTTCATCTAATAGCAGGTGCAGAATACCATTTGCATACCTCCTCGCGTTTCTGTGAACCTGATAACAAGTTTCCAATCTACCAATTTTACGAAGAAGCTGTGGTCGTCTGTGCGATATTCAGAAACGTATATTTGTATCAGGATTGCTGAAATGACTAGGAGCATATATCCAGAAGATCAAAATTCCACGTCAACGTCATAGCATAAGCAGTGGACTGTTCACCATTCTCCTCGCTTTTCTGTGAACCTCATAGCAAGTATCCGATCTATACCAATTTTACGAAGAAGCTGCGGTCGACAGTGCGACACATATAGATCTGTATCAGGATTGCAGAAACGACTAGGAGCATAGATGTAAAAGATCAAAATTTCGCCTCAATATCATAGTATAAGCAGAGTACCCTTCACTTACCTCCTCGCTTTTCTGTCATTATCGTTATCGTTCTGGTTATCGTCATCGTCGTCGTTTTCGTCATCGTTATCGTTATAATTATTATATATTATTAAATATTTTCCATAATTGGTAGGAACTTGATAGTGTTTTTAATGTGCGATAGGATGTAGCGTAATAATGACTACTAAACAGCGCCTATACGAGTATTTTCCTCCTTAACACAAAGCTTAAGTTTCACGTAGGGGAGGTGAAAAGTCGACGTGGGAGATTGTATTCGAAATTGATACTACTTGGAATGTGATACTTGATACTATTTATAATCCGATAGGAGGGAATGTGTTAGTACTTCTCCAACTATTAGTGCGGTGACTACTATAATGTATCAAGACCGAAGAAAAGTTATTGTCATTGGTGGTGGATTGGTGAGTCTTGATTAGTTACATACAGGGTGTTCGAAAAATATACGGGGATATTTAACAGGGTGATTCCTTGATAAAAATATGAAAAAAAGTTTCATAAACATGGGTCCAAAAATGCAGAGTTTTCAAGATACAGGGTGATGAATTAATTTTTTTATTATTAATATCCCAAAAAAATATTTACTTGATTCTGTTGACATTTGGCAATGTTATTTCTTGTCTTAAGAGCTTAATTTAGCCTTAAATAAATTAAAATTATTAGGTACAGTGGCGTCCCGTAGTAGCGAATATTATTGGCAAAAAAATGTACGCCACTGCCTTTTTTGTAACTTCAAGATTTTTTGTTTGATTAAGCATCTGAAAATACAACTTCTTTCCATCTTGTATTTCTTTGTATCGCACTTAGCTTTCGAGAAAAAAAACATAAAAACTGTTTTGTTGAATGTCACTGGACAAAATTACATACATTTAGAGGAACTTCTTCTAGTAGTACGGGGAATTCTTGTTGAACAAATTGTGAGTAAGATTCGCGGTTTAAAATTGTCACCAACAATACCCATCCACACATTTAAAGAAAATTGTTCCTGGTGGCGATATTGTACGTAAGCATGACGATTTTCGTCACTCCATACATGAGTGTTAAGGTTAAAATTATTCAAATTGCTATTATTAGTAACCTTTTGGTAATACCATTGGAAAAACTGTAAACGAGATAGAAAATCTTTGGTAATAATGCTTGCCCACGTTGGACATGATAGGGCTACAAAAGTTGCTCGGAGCACACTGTGCAGTTGAAATGATTACCCTTTAATCTAGTTCATATAGGCCTGGTACCGATACCAGGATTTTGTTCCACGGCATTTATAACTGCCTCGTCAAACTCAGGCGTACTTACGGACCTCGGCCGGCCTCTATGATTGGTTGGAATGGCAAAACTTCCTAAATAATATTATCATCAAAAACATCACGAAAAAGAAAATTTACCTCTTCCCTGTAATTTACGGCCTACGCTTTGAAAGGTTTTAATCACGTGCATACATAACATGTCTGTCATTTCCTCAAAAGTGTAATTTTCCTTAACAAAAATCGAGAAAAAACTTTTTAGAGAAATTTCGCAAAGAAAATTACGTCCATGCAGAAATGATTTTTTGTTTCCCAAGGCACTTGTGACTTTTTTGGCAAAAATTAATAAACCAATTTCCAGTGACATGCAATAAAACGGTTTTTATTTCTTTCACGAAAACGAAGCAAGATACGAAAAAAATAAAAGAGGCAAAGGACTTGTATTTTTAGGTGATAATATTCGCTAAGGTGCCTCCCGGGACGCCACTGGACCTGATAATGTTAATCTATTACGGGATTAATTAGCCTCTTAATACAACAAATAATATTGCCAAATTTCAACAGAATCGGTTAAATATTTTGTAAGATATTAACAAAAAAAGACTTATTTAAATGTATCACCCTGTATCTTGAAAGCTCTGTATTTCTGGACCCATGTTTACAGAACCTTTTTTTCATATTTCTTGACTAGGAATGACTCTCTAAAGTATCTCCGTCTATTTTTTGAACACCCTCTAAATTTACCGTTGCTAAACAGGAGGTACGAGTATATAGTATGGTGCTTTAGGGAAGGAAAACAAATTGCGAAGTCGTAGGTTTTGTTCTTACGCAGGAGCATCACAGGGTAGTAGTAGTAGCAATAGTTGTAGAAGATATTTATTTACTCTATAACACAAGAATAACAATATAAAATGGGTAAATAAATATGGTTTGATCCATAGATGGATAGTGCTTGTACATGGATCAGTCAAATTTTGGAAAAAGTGACTCAAAAAAAATAAATTGATAGAAGAGGTATAAAAAATTATGTCAAAAAGTATATGTCTAAAATATGATTAATTTTAATGAGCATTTTATACGAGTTCTATAATATGGTGTCTGCCTATGCAACGTATGTATTATGACAATTTTTTCTCGAAACTATGGATATTTCAGGTTGTCTTAAGTCTTGAGGTACGTGTTTATATAATTTGGGAGTCGGATAGAGATAAGATTAAGACATTATGAACTAAAGACGTCTAGGGACAGTCTTTGCACGTAACTTGTATCAAGTATCGTGGCAGTGTGTCATTGCATCGCTCTCACTGATAAGTTTGTGATAGTGACTGACAGTATGCATGAAATAAACTTGCCTGATATCAAATAACTTCGTTCCATTGTTAACTCACTGGTAGAATATATTGATTTTCCGAACACTGTAAAGCTTCTATACCGTTCCAATAAGCTGGACAAGATATATTCCACGCTAATATGCCATACATTAGGTGCGGCATAATTAAGTCATGATATATAATACCAAGAAATTTAAGCTTTCTTCTAGCTGGATATTGAAATACTTAACTATGAACAAAATAAGTTTATTTCACAGAAAAAAGCAATGTGTTGTACTAATAGAAAAGAATATATAAGCAGAACCTGATATTGGCTACAGACCTGTGTATCAGGTTACTCTCACTGGCGCTCCCACGGGGGGGGGGTGTTAGGGGGTGAAGGGGGTAATTACCCCTCCCCCCAGACGACTCGAGCAGTCTTTGAAAAGGTGGTATAAAGTCTTACAAAAAAATCTGTAACTTTAAGAAAGGATAGCGGCAACTCTGCCAACCCGCTCAGTGCGCATGCGACTAGCGACTACTCTACCATCAACAGCAACGGTGTGCGCTTCTTCATGTTGGAACAGGTATAGTCTAGTCTTTTATGGTCTAGTCTAGTGTCTAAATTCTGTACCAGTCTGGAGCCCGCAACAAAATTTGGCTGAGAAGTGAACAAGCCGAGTTTTGTTGATCTGGTTGGTATTAACGCTATTTTCTATGTTCTATTGATTTTTTATTTTCCACTTATGAGCCAGAAATTAATTTTTGTTTGTTTTTAATTTATATACTATAAAAGAATCGTGTCTTATAAAATGATAGACGGAAAAATGGAAATTTAATATAATTTCAATTACGAAGTGTTTGGTCCATACTCCAGCTATCATTATCATTTATGTGTATTTTGTCTCGGAAGTCCCTGTATATAAGTACTTCAGTGCATTTCATTCGTCCGAGATGGCAAATTATATGTTTAGTTCTTGAAAATTGCGTGAACTTAACGAATCTTGTTTTCCAAACAGAAAAGGTTCTTTGTTATGAGATACGTGAATGCGTGGAAACCAATAACGCCGTTATTTGACAATATTTGTGTAACTTTTAGTGCTGGTTGACGGCTGCTGTTGTCAGGATGAGTAAAAGGAAGAAAGAATACCATCGATTGGTTCCTTTCTAAACAAAACAAACTGTTTGATCCACCGCCACAAGAATCACCGGAAAAAAACTGATGATAATCCTACAATTCATCCTGAGCCTCCCACTTCAAAATTTCTTGATGTTGCACCGTATGCTGAACCAAGTGTTGAACAATCGGGTGTGAAACCTACAGGATCCAATTTTGTTGTTGTTGCGCCATATGTAAATATCAGCAGCAACTTGCGTTCCCATGAAAAATATACCTTATTGAGGTGTGCAATGATCCCTAATGACTCTTTCAAATATCCCTATTCCACGGACTTGAAAAATAATAAAGAAGTGAAATGTTACTTATCAAAAAAACACTTTGAGAAATTTTCTTGACTGTCATATTCAGTGGAACTACAACGGCTTTTCTGTAAATATTGCGTGGTTTTTGCAAAATTAGGATTAGTACATGAATCAACTAAATTGGGAAAACTTGTTTTCGAAATTGTATGGCAAAACCGGTGATTGTGAGACACATAAGAACTCATTATATCATACAGAAGCAGTTTCAGATGCTACAAACTTTTTAAAGACTTACGAAAATCCAGAGAATGATATAAGAAATATAATAGACGCGGAGCGAATTAAGCAAGTATCACAAAATCGGCAAAGATTGACTCCTATAATAGAATCAATAATTTTTTTAGGACGCCAAAATATACCACTTAGAGGGCATACAGATAGGGGAGACTTTTTTCTAATGACAGCACGAATGTCGTGGGAATTTTAGAGAACTAATACGGTTTAGAGTCGAGAGCGGCGACAATTTATTGGAAAAAAAACTTAGAGAACTCAAAAGCGCATGCTACGTACATAAGCAGCCGCATCCAAAATGAAATTATATAGAATGTTGTGGCGAAGAAATCTTGGATATAGTTTTAAGTCGCGTCAGGCAAAGTCAGTATTTGATGAAATTACAGACATTAGCCATAAACCACAAATGTCAATCGTATTGCGGTATTGTTATCAAAAACATATTTACGAGGGTTTCATGGGATTTGTGGATTGCTACTCAAATTTTGATGAAGATACAATGCAGCCCAAGCTCACAGATCAAATTCTTGCTCAAACAGTCATTTCTTTGAAACCAATAACTTAGACTCAAAACTATGTGTGGGCATTGGTAATGATACGTGTAACCTAATTTTAGGTAAACAAAAGGGCGCTGTAATGGATTGCAAAAATGTTTGCAAATGCTCTAAATAGCTCATGCGCAAATCATGCCTTGAATCTTTCGATTCCAAAAAAGGCAGTGTCTAATCAGTAAGAAATACTCTAGGTATAATGAAGGAAGTAATTGCGTTCTTCAAAGCAGCCGGTAAAAGAAATATAGTATTACAAAGAAAACTAGACGGATATCAAATTCATAGTATATGCGAAACACGTAGGACCGAGAGACATGATTCTGTGCTCCAATTTGAAAGCAAATTTGATAAAATTGTAGAGGTACTAAATATTATATCAAATTGGAAAGACCGCGAAGCTTCTTCAAAAGCGGAGTCTTGCCATTACTTCCACCCAACTTATCGTATCACTAAAGTGTTTGTGTAATATATTAGCTTTAACAGTCAACCTGAGTAAGATTTTACAATCAAAAACAATTGATAAACAATACGCTGTTAAACTCATAAGAAATATTATTTCAGCTGTACAAGAAAGATTCAAAGACGC